CCGCGAGCTCCGAAGACCATAGGTAGAGGAGTTAACACCGAGCTCGCTGGGGGGAAGTGACCTTTCGCGTACTTCTGCCTGTTGAGATGCCATGTGTCGTAACTGTTCATTTTCCGAAAACGTGCAAGTGGCGCGTTAAGGGAAATGATGGTTGTGCAATGATGGTCTTGCAATTAATGTGTTGTCAGCGTGCCCTTAGGTTGACACATGGCATGGTCGTTTTGAAATTTGGGGAAAAAGCCCTTTTCTCTTTCTCTCCCGCGTCTCTCTCCATTCACTCTGCTTCCTTCCACTCTTTGGCTTCTTAGGTACGATAGTCCTCTTTGCCTTCTCATTCCTTGTTTCCGCTCGCTTTCCGTCTCCATATTATTTATACTCGCCTAGTCAGATTTTTACCGATTAATCATGAGTTGGTCTTTGAGTTATTTATACTCACCCAGTCGAATTTTTACCAATCAATCACGAGTTAGGTCTTTGAATTATTTATACTCGCCCAGTCGGATTTTTACCGATCAATCAAGAGTTAAGTCTTCGAGTTATTTATACTCGCCCAATTTGATTTTTAGCGATCAATCACGAGTATTGGTCTTCGAGTTATTTATACTCGCCCAGTCAGATTTTTACCGATCAATCAAGAGATAAGTCTTCGAGTTATTTATACTCGCCCAGTCAGATTTTTACCGATCAATCACGAGTATTGGTCTTCGAGTAATTTATACTCGCCCAGTCGTATTTTTACCGATCAATCACGAGTTTGTCTTCGAGTTATTTATACTCGGCCAATCGAATTTTTACCGATCAATCACGAGTTTGTCTTCGAGTTATTATACTCGCCTAGTCGAATTTTTACCGATCAATCACAAGTTTGTCTTCGAGTTATTTATAGTCGCCCATTCAGATTTTTACCGATCAATCACGAGTTTTGGTCTTCGAGTTATTTATACTCGCCTAGTCGAATTTTTACTGATTAATCACGAGTTTTTCTTCGAGTTATTTATACTCGTCCAGTCGGATTTTTACCGATCAATCACGAGTTTTGGTCTTCGAGTTGTTTGTACTTGCCCAGTCAAATTTTTACTGATCAATCACGAGTTTGTCTTCGAGTTATTTATACTCGCCCAGTCGGATTTTTACTGATCAATCACGAGTTTTTCTTCAACTTATTTATACTCGCCCAGTCAGATTTTTACCTATCAATCACGAGTTTTGGTCTTCGAGTTATTTATACTCGTCCAGTCGGATTTTTACCGATCAATCACGAGTTTTGGTCTTCGAGTTATTTATACTCGCCTTATCGGATTTTTATCGATCAATCACGAGTTTATCTTCGAGTTATTATACTCGCCCAGTCGGATTTTTACCGATAAATCACGAGTTTGGTCTTCGAGTTATTTATACTCGCCCAGTCAGGTTTTTACCAATCAATCACGAGTTAGGTCTTCGAGTTATTTATACTCGTCCAGTCGGATTTTTACCGATCAATCACGAGTTTTTGTCTTCGAGTTATTTATACTCGCCCAGTTGGACTTTTACCGATCAATCATGAGTTTGTCTTCGAGTTATTTATACTCGCCTAGTCAGATTTTTACCTATCAATCACGAGTTTTGGTCTTCAAGTTATTTATACTTGCCCAGTCGGATTTTTACCGATCAATCACAAGTTAGGTCTTCGAATTATTTATATTCGTCTAGTCGGATTTTTACCGATCAATCATAAGTTTTGGTCTTCAAGTTATTTATACTCGCCCAGTCGGACTTTTATCGATCAATCACGAGTTTTGGTCTTCATGTTGTTTATACTTGCCCAGTCGGACTTTTATCGATCAATCACGAGTTTGTCTTCAAGTTATTTATACTCGCCCAGTCAGATTGTTACTGATCAATCACGAGTTTTGGTCTTTGAGTTATTTATACTCGCCCAGTCATATTTTTACCGATCAATCACGAGTTTGTCTTCGAGTTATTTATACTCGTCCAGTAAGATTTTTCCCGATCAATCACGAGTTAGGTCTTCGAGTTATTTATACTCACCCACTCGGATTTTTACCGATCAATCACGAGTTTGTCTTCGAGTTATTTATACTCGTCCAGTAAGATTTTTCCCGATCAATCACGAGTTAGGTCTTCGAGTTATTTATACTCACCCACTCGGATTTTTACCGATCAATCACGAGTTTGTCTTCGAGTTATTTATACTCGTCCAGTAAGATTTTTCCCGATCAATCACGAGTTAGGTCTTCGAGTTATTTATACTCACCCACTCGGATTTTTACCGATCAATCACGAGTTTGTCTTCGAGTTATTTATACTCGTCCAGTAAGATTTTTCCCGATCAATCACGAGTTAGGTCTTCGAGTTATTTATACTCACCCACTCGGATTTTTACCGATCAATCACGAGTTTGTCTTCGAGTTATTTATACTCGTCCAGTAAGATTTTTCCCGATCAATCACGAGTTAGGTCTTCGAGTTATTTATACTCACCCACTCGGATTTTTACCGATCAATCACGAGTTTGTCTTCGAGTTATTTATACTCGTCCAGTAAGATTTTTCCCGATCAATCACGAGTTAGGTCTTCGAGTTATTTATACTCACCCACTCGGATTTTTACCGATCAATCACGAGTTTGTCTTCGAGTTATTTATACTCGTCCAGTAAGATTTTTCCCGATCAATCACGAGTTAGGTCTTCGAGTTATTTATACTCACCCACTCGGATTTTTACCGATCAATCACGAGTTTGTCTTCGAGTTATTTATACTCGTCCAGTAAGATTTTTCCCGATCAATCACGAGTTAGGTCTTCGAGTTATTTATACTCACCCACTCGGATTTTTACCGATCAATCACGAGTTTGTCTTCGAGTTATTTATACTCGTCCAGTAAGATTTTTCCCGATCAATCACGAGTTAGGTCTTCGAGTTATTTATACTCGCCCAGTCAGATTTTTACTGATCAATCACGAGTTTTGGTCTTCGAGTTATTTATACTCGCCCAGTCAGATGTTTACCGATCAATCACGAGTTTTTCTTCAACTTATTTATACTCGCCGAGTTGGATTTTTACCGATCAATCATGAGTTAGGTCTTCAAGTTATTTATACTCGTCCAGTCATATTTTTACCGATCAATCATGAGTTTGGTTGTCTTCGTGTTATTTATACTCACCTAGTCAGATTTTTACCGATCAATCATGACTTTTGGTCTTCGAATTATTTATACTCGCCTAGTCAGATTTTTACCGATTAATCACGAGTTGGTCTTCGAGTTATTTATACTCACCCAGTCGAATTTTTACCAATCAATCACGAGTTAGGTCTTTGAATTATTTATACTCGCCCAGTCGGATTTTTACCGATCAATCACGAGTTAGGTCTTCGAGTTATTTATACTCGCCCAATTTGATTTTTAGCGATCAATCACGAGTATTGGTCTTCGAGTTATTTATACTCGCCCAGTCGTATTTTTACCGATCAATCACGAGTTTGTCTTCGAGTTATTTATACTCGCCCAATCGAATTTTTACCGATCAATCACGAGTTTGTCTTCGAGTTATTATACTCGCCTAGTCGGATTTTTACCGATCAATCACAAGTTTGTCTTCGAGTTATTTATACTCGCCCATTCAAATTTTTACCGATCAATCACAAGTTTTGGTCTTCGAGTTATTTATACTCGCCCAGTCGAATTTTTACTGATCAATCACGAGTTTGTCTTCGAGTTATTTATACTCGTCCAGTCAGATTTTTACCGATCAATCACGAGTTAGGTCTTCGAGTTATTTATACTCGCCTAGTCAGATTTTTACCGATTAATCACGGGTTTGTCTTCGAGTTATTTATACTCGCCCAGTCAGAATGGAACCGATCAATCATGAGTTGTCTTCGAATTGTTTATACTCGCCCAGTCATATTTTTACCGATCAATCACGAGTTTTCCTGCGAGTCAATCAATTTGAAAATAATGGTTTTTATTATTTGATGGTACCTCATTAAAAACTTTTTTAGCATAAAACCCTCTCACATTTTTGTAGGGATAAAAATACTGAGTTAGGAAAGAGTGCACCTAATACAAAACGATCAACTAACTATAATGTTCCCATAAATAACTTGTAGCGGACCCCCATGCTTCCTCCATAAATTAACATTTGAGCACGAAAGTCCGTTAGATGTTGACTAGGATCTTGTGTCCTGTCAAACGGTTCCACCTGAGGTATCATATGATCTCTTAGGATGGCCTCAGATTCAATCACATCTGAAAACGATCTAAAGTCCCTCGGAACTTCCGTCATACTATCTTCTTTCGTTGTCCTCATATTAGCCGCTATCATGGCCTGCATCTCATCGGCTCGTCGTCTGATCTCCTTGTTCTCTCGTTGAATGGCCTCCTCTCTCTCTGGATCGTGCATTCTCCTCTCTCAAGCCATTGATCAATGCCATCATCTCCTCCATGGTAGGGTGTTGTGGGTCGTGGTTGGTTGTTCCGCCTCTCGTCATAGTAAAGTGTAGGTTTTTCGTATTGCTTGGGGCATCGGAAAAGTTTTACCGTAGCCCCACGGTGGGCGCCAAAATGTTCTGGCCAAGGGGTGAATTAGGGTTTCTTCCTAGATCGAGCCTCTGAGTCAAAGCAATCAAGAGTGTAATCTGTAATCTGCCTGCTTAGCCTTAGGGTTTTAGGTTTTATACTTTCTTATTCATGGGCCTCATGGGCCTTGTGAGCCCGGAGATTTTCATGATTGTTTTTATTTGAAAGATATTTAGTAATTAAAGGTGGGATTTTGTCCTTGATATCGGGTCAACGTCTGTGTGGGAAAATTGGTTCGAATTCTGACCGTGATAATGCACTTACGCAAAAGGTCAGATCGGATTTTTGACCGAGTTCGCCCATGTAAAGGGATCTGATTAGATTTTGACCGAGTGAACCTATGTAGAGAGGTCAGATCGAATTTTGACCGAGTTAATCGTTTGAAAAATTACACTAGTTGGAATATGTCACGGTCATCGAATATTGGAATATGACTTTCTTTTATTTTTGGACTCTAAAAGCAAATTGTGACGGTTTTGGATAACAATGCATAATAAGTAATAACCAAGCAACCTATTTGAACTAAAACCTGAATCATCGACGTGTCTAAGCTGAAGCCACTGATTCCAAGAAAAGACAAATTTTGACGAAGAAAATATCTAGTCCAACGGAGAGAGAATCCGTTCCACGAAGCACTGCAAATCCCTGTGGGAGCTTCCACCCTCTCTAACGGCGTGCAGTGCGGCGTCCTTGAGCTCCAAGGCCCGGCTCATCTCGGCGCCGTTCCCACTCACCGAGTCGGCAAGAACTCGGGCCAGAGAGTCGGAGTCGGGAACGGTCTGGGCCCCCTCGCACACCCTCCTAGCGATCTTCAACTCGTCGACGAGCAACGTGGCGTTGATGAATTGGTCGGCGGTCATGGGCCACGCAAGCATGGGCACCCCCGCCACCACCGCTTCCAGCACGGAGTTCCACCCGCAGTGCGTCAGGAACGCCCCCACCGCACGGTGCCTCAGAATCACCAGCTGCGGGGCCCACCCCCTGATCACCAAACCCTTCCCGTTAAACTCATCTTCGTTTTCGGCTTCTTCTTTTTCCTCTTTAATCGACCAAACGAAATGCACCCCGCTCTTCACCAACCCCGACTTAATCGCCTCTTTCTGATCCCCACTCAGGATACTCTGGCTCCCGAAGCAGATATACACCACCTTACGCTCCTCCATTTTGTCCAGCCACGAAACGACGTCGTTCACCGACACGGAGCTCGTCCCGCCTCTGTCCTTCACAGAGGACTCGTCCTCAGGGAGCAACGGTCCGACCGCCCACACTCGATCGTGGCCCAATTCCTTTGTGAGAAAGTCAAAATAAGGCCTCTCGAGGTCGGCGAAGGAGTTGACAAGGAGTCCCCAGCTTGCGAGGTTTCCGAGGAACCACTCTTTTAGATTCTCGGAATCCTCGTCCCCTGCGGTGTAGCTTCGGAACATAGGGGAGACCTGGCACCAGGGGAACTCGGGGGAGTTGGGGAGCGTGTGGTAGGAAACGACGTCGGATGGGTGGTTGGTGGGCTTGGGGAGGTGTATCCAGAGGAAGCACATGGTGGAGAAGGTGAAGGCGGCGGAGGGGGAAAAGACGAGTCTGGGGAGTCCGAGGTTTTGGGTCCATCCGAGGAACATGTCGGAGATGATGAGGGTGGGAGGGGAGGGGTGGGAGCGGAGCCAGCGGAGGAGGGGGCGGTGGAGGTGGGAGAGGGAGAGGGTTATGGCGCGGATGAGGTGGGGCATGTCCTTGACGTTTTCTATGCCTGGGGGGACGGAGGGGTGGTGCGGGAAGGGGAGGAGGAGGGTGTGGATAGAAGGGTGGGAGGAGAGGAGCGCGGAGAGGAGAGGGCGGTTGGCGGGGGTGGTCACGACGGTGATGGCGAGGGAAGGGTTGGAGGCCAGCTTGCGGGTTAGGTCGAGGAGAGGGATCATGTGACCCTGTGCTGGGAACGGTATCACCAGCACGTGCTTCTGCACGGGCCTCTCCTTGCCGCTAACTATTGTCATCGAATGCACAATCAAAAGACAGAGAAACCCAAACCCCACTTCTACTTCTGGATACACTCTTCAATGTCAATATTCTAGGTCTAGCATTTATAGGTTCAATAATGGTGCGCTGAAAAGATACATTCAATGTTTAAGTACCTTTTCTTCGAGAGAATTACTATAGCCGCCAAACGACATAATTCAAATATGGTTAAAAATCTAATTTAGTTCTTTATAGTATTTTTTTTATTTTAATTTTGTCTTACTTTAATTTTTTGTTTTAATTTTATCCTTAATAATTTAAGTTATTGTAATTTAGGATTTTTGTCCAAATAATTTAAATGGGATTAACTCCTAGTGACGTGAACGTCACTTGGATGCGGATGTTGATGTATACGTAGATGCTTAATTTTTTTATGCATCTTAAATCAGAACGGCCTGTTCTGAAATTGGAACGGACCGTTTTGCTTGCACTCATGGTGCGTAAATTTTGTATCCGGAACGGGCGTTCTAGATGCATTATTTAACACCAACGAGTGCATCAGAACGGGTCGTTCTGAAATCGGAACGGGCCATTCTGGTTTCCAAAAAGGGCCATTTCGGATTCAGAACGGGTCGTTCTAAAACGCCAACAAACACACAATGCGATTCAAAGATCAAAGACAAACCATTTACACATACATAAAATTTTTTATCTAAAAAATAATATTTTTTAAAAAATAAAAATTATATTCTAATAAATATATATATATATATATATATATATTTAAATTATCATATGTATAAAATATAAATTTCGAAGAATTAAAAAAAATCAAAATTGTAAAAATTTATATCACATATCAAAAACATCTTTATATGATAAATAAATTAAATTTGATTTTTATAAGATTTAACATATTTATTTTTATGTTTTTATTAGTGTTAAATTATTATTAAGTAGGTTTTTAAGATTGTAGTTCTAACCAAACATTTTAAAAAATGTCTATGACAGATAAATATATCATATTAATAACATTTATTTTTAATAAAAATTAGGTTTAATTCTGTTAAATTATAATATAACATAATCTGACCTAGTTTATTTTCATCCTTAATCGTAATTGTAGATATAAAAACATAAAAAATAACTATAATATATATTTATACTTTTAAAAATTATATGTAAAATTTTTAATAATACAAATATATAAATATGTATTGCCCCCACGATCTAAAATTTCTAGATCTGTCACCGACTATAATCATCCAGTTTGGGTTTGGCATTTTGGAACTAGAACTGCCAATTCTGAAACCAGAACGGCCCGTTCTGGTTGCACTCTTGATGTGTTAATCTTGCATTCGGAACGACCCGTTCCAGGTGCAAAATTAACACACGAAGTGTGCAACCAGAACGGGTCATTCTGGTTTTAGAACTGGCCGTTCTGGCTCCAGATGCATTAAAAATTTTGGCATCCACGTGGCCAACAGTTAACTCCGTCTAAATCATTTCGATGAAAGTTTCAAATTGCAATAATTTAAATTATTGGGGACCAAATTGAAACAAAAAATTAAAGTGAGACTAAATTGAAACAAAAAAAAATTATAAGGGACCAAATTAGGTTTTTAACCATCAAATATTAAAATTTTTAAATAAATTTATTATAAAATAATTATTTAATTTAATATTTTATTATTTAAATCAATTTTTTAATAATTCGGAACACGATTCGGTCCATTCAGTCCGAACTTCCAGCATTTTTCTTTCTTCAATTTAACAGTTTCATCTGGTTAAAAATAGTTTTTTTTAAAGAGAAATTCTATGCTACCCATATTATTTGAGAGGATGCTAATATAGTTGTAATTATAATTATTTTATATGTTTTAATTTTATTTGTAATAATATCATTATATATTTAAATAGTTTTATTTTAATAATTTTTTAAGTATATTTTTGTCTTTTCACTTTAAATTTTTGAATTTCTATATTGTAATTTTAATAATTTTTTATTTCTATTATTTATTAATTATTTTATTTTTTAATGTTTAGGATTTAGGATTTATTTATATAATATTTATGATATTTTATTCTTTCATTTTTTTTAAATTATTTAGTCATTTTATTTTTATTTTATATGTTCTAATTTTCTTTGTAATAATATTATTATATATTTAAATGTCTTTTTACCTTAAATTTTTGAATTTCTTTATTATAATTGTTTTTTATTTCTATTATTTATTAATTCTTTTCTTTTTTAATGTTTTATAACATTATTGGAATCCTATAATTTTAATCTCTATAATTTTGTCCTACTTTTTATTTTATAAATATAATTTAGATTATTCATTTTATAATTAAATTAGTATTTTTTTAAGAGTTTGCATAGGAGAATATACTGAAACTCCTGGATCTTTGAAGGTACCGTAACAACTATATGGTACCCATATTATTTGAGAGGGTACCAGTTGTTCTTACCGGAAATCTGCTGTAGAGCTAATCCGCCAGGTAAGATCGGTGAGCCTCCTTCACTAGTACGCTTGATGCTCCAATATGGGGGTGGTACCTCCAAAAGAGACTCCGATGCTAAAGTTAGTGTTTGTGGGAGTATGAATCTTGTATAAGTAAAGCACGTACCTTAGTGTGAATTAGGGTTGCTTTGGGCCTTGGGCCTAAGATAAGATATGATAAGATTAAATAGTGGATCTCGTTTGAGGCGAGATCCCTCGAGGTCAGTTATGATCTGCTTAAATGCCGAGCTGACGTCGCGTAGCGTGTGCCCGACCTTATCTTGTGCTGTGATGCCGAGCTCGGAGCCCGGCTTCGCAGTACGGAAAGTACACTAGCCCCGCGAGCTCCGAAGACCATAGGTAGAGGAGTTAACACCGAGCTCGCTGGGGGGAAGTGACCTTTCGCGTACTTCTGCCTGTTGAGATGCCATGTGTCGTAACTGTTCATTTTCCGAAAACGTGCAAGTGGCGCGTTAAGGGAAATGATGGTTGTGCAATGATGGTCTTGCAATTAATGTGTTGTCAGCGTGCCCTTAGGTTGACACATGGCATGGTCGTTTTGAAATTTGGGGAAAAAGCCCTTTTCTCTTTCTCTCCCGCGTCTCTCTCCATTCACTCTGCTTCCTTCCACTCTTTGGCTTCTTAGGTACGATAGTCCTCTTTGCCTTCTCATTCCTTGTTTCCGCTCGCTTTCCGTCTCCATTTCCGGTAACCCCGTCACTACTAGGGTTATTTTTTGAGGAGGAGTACCAGGTACTTCCTTTCTACAATTCTCTCTTTTCTTTTCCCCAGATCTTCTCTTTCTTTAATAGCTGGTGGGAGTGGTGCCGGCTCTTCTGCACCTGTTAGGGGCAAGGCGCGCGGTAAGGCGATGGCTATCGGGAGAGCCGCCGTCGAGAAGAGGGATCCGCCTCCGCCCCGGGGCTCGAAGCCAGGAATCTTTGGCTATGATTGGGTTAAGCGTGAGATGGCGGGGGTCCAGAGCGTTTTTCGGTCCTTTCTTGAGGTTAACGGGATCTCGCGGTCGTGCAGGGTTTGCGACCCTTCTATTTCCCGGATGATCCGACTTGAACCTTGTTAGGCCGGTGAGGGTGTGTACATGGGGAAGTCTACCGACCCTCCCCATTTCTATATGTATCATTGTTTTTTCCGAGATTTAGGTGTATGTCTTCCCTTCACTCAGTTTGAGTGTGATTTTTTGAACTTTGTCAACTCGGCTCCTTGCCAGTTGCACCCCAATAGTTGGGGTTTTTTGAGGGCTTTTCAAGTTCTGTGTACAGATTTGGGGATAGAGGTGTCTCTTCCCGTCTTCCTTCATTTATATCAGTTGAAGGTAGGCGTTCCGCCATACGGCATATTATCTCTGAGTGGGAGTAGGGATGGGGGTTTCTTTACTCTCTACTCCCAGTCGTACAAAAATTTCAAACAAGAGTTTTTCTGAGTCGCTCTTGTGGATGTTGACCCCTTGGAAGATGGGGCGTTTTATATCGGGGGGCTACCGAGATTTCCCTTCTATTGGTGCCCCCGACCGTCTAAGTTTGCTGCCATCGAGAACCTCGCCGCGCTTCCTCGTCCGTTGGATTGCAAGCTCGTTTTGTCGCTTGCGAACTCGGCGCACAGGGAGAGGGGCCTGGAGAGTGAGTATCCTGTGTTTTGGTGGTTTGTTAGGGTTTGAGCTCGGGGTTTCTTTGCTAATGTGGGTTGTATTCTGTTTGCAGGCATTATGGGGAAGAACTTGTGGCGCGAGCTGAAGCGTCGCTATAATGTTTCTGACCTGGAGGTTCCCGAGCCTCAAGAGGAGGATGTTCCCTCCCTGAAGGTCCGCCGGAAGAGGAAGATGGGGGGAAAGGAGGTCGGGGGGACCTCCTCCCCCCTGATGCCGAGGAGGTGACCTCCAAGGCCGCTGATGTTGATGCGGTGAATCTCACCGAGAGTCCGCCACCAAAAGAGGCTCCTCCAGTGGCTACGGAGGGGGTGGCCCGGGCTGTTGAGCCTGCTGCGCAGGCTGCCAAGGTGGCGACCTCGACTGCTGAGCTGGTTGCTCCTTTTACCGAGGTGAGTGTCTTATTTCCTTGTACATTTCTTCTGTGTTGACTTTGCTCGGTTTATTGAGGTGGTATGGGCCTTTTTGTAGGCCGGGGTGGCCGTCGCCGAGGTAGGAGCCCAGGTTGCTGAGCACGATGCTCGACGACTGAAGTGAGTATTTCTCTTTTTACTTTTTCTGTTTGACCTGTGTGTTGTCTTGTCTTTTGACACGGGATCGCTTTTTGCAGGCGGGGAGTGCTGCTGAGGCCCCGGTTCCCCCGAGGTCGGAGGTGCCCGACTTGGACCCTCTTGTTGGCAAGCAGAGGGTGTACGCTTCCACTACTGCTGAGGCTCGTGGCAAGGGGCTGTCGCCACCCGCCGAAACGGACCTTGGCAATCGCGA